TCACCTAAGTTATTGAGCTTATATGCATGGAATTGCTTGTAGTAGTCTCATACTATTGTTATAAATATCTTCTGTGTCTGTGGTGATATTTCCTCTTAATTTCTTGAAATTGGTAGTTTGTGTATTCTCTTTCTTCTTTGTCAGTCTTACTTAGGGTCCATCAACTTTATTAATCCTTTCCCCAACCCAGCTTTTGGTTTCCTTGATTTTTTTCCCCTGATTTTTCCATTTTGATTTTCATTGATTTCTGTTATCTTTATTTTCTTCCTTCTGTTTGCCTGCTTTATACTTAGCTCTTCTTTTTGTGATTTCTTAAGCTGGAAGTTTAGATGACTGATTTGAGACCCTTCTCCTTTTTTTTTTTTAAGATTTTTTATTCATTCATGAGATACACACACAGAGAGAGAGAGAGAGGCAGAGACACAGGGCAGAGGGAGAAGCAGGCTCCATGCAGGGAGCCTGACATGGGACTCGATCCTGGGTCTCCAGGATCATGCCCTGGGCTGAAGGCAGATGCTTAACTGCTGAGCCACCCAGGCACCCCGAGACCCTTCTCCTTTAACATAAGCACTTAGTGCTATAAATTTCTCCCTAAATCCCATGGATTGATGTTTTTGTATTTTCATTTTTGTTCAGTTCAGAATATTTTCTAGTTTCCTTTGAGACTTCCTCTTTGGCTCATTGAACACTCATAAGTGTTTGGAGATTTATAGTTCTCTTTCTGTGACTGATTTCCAGTTTGATTTCATTATGGTCAGAAAACATAGTTTGTATTTTGCTCTTTTTCTGGTTAAGGCTTGTTTTATGGTTCAGGATATGGTCTATCTTGTGAGTGTTTTATGTGCACTTGAAAACATGTGTATTATGCCACTGTAAGTTGTACTTTATAAATTAGTTAAATCAGGATGTTGACAGTGTTCTGTTCTTCTGTATTCTTCCAGATTTTACACCTCCTTTTTCTACTGAATACTGCAGAGTGTTGCAGACCCCTACCATAATTTGTCCATTTCTCCTTTCAGTTCTGTTCATTTTTGCTTCATGTATTTTGAAGCTCCTTTGTTAGGTATATAAACACTGAGGATTATGTTTTCTTAGAAAACTAACCTCTTCATCATTATGTAATGTCCTTCTTTATTCCTCATAATATTCCTTATTCTTAAGTGCACTTCATCTGAAATGAATATAGCCACAGCAATTTTCCTTTGATTAATGTTGTTTTTTCTACCTTTTTGCTTTTTAATTTACCTGTGACATATATTTAAAGTGGGTTTCTTGTAAATAGCCCATAGCTGGGTATTTTTTTTTTATAAGATCCATTCTGACAATCTCTGTCTTTTTTACAATGTTTGAACCATTTAATTTAGCATTCGTATTTTTTTAAGATTTTATTTATTTATTTATTTTTAAGATTTTATTTATTTATTCATGAGAGAGACACACACACAGAGAGAGGCAGAAACACAGGCAGAGGAAGAAGCAAGCTCCATGCAGGGAGCCCAATGTGGGACTCGATCCCAGGTCTCCAGGATCAGGCCCTGGCCTGAAGGTGGCGCTAAACAGCTGAGCCACCCAGGCTGCCCTATTTTATTTTATTTTATTTTATTTTATTTTATTTTATTTTATTATTTTATTTTATTTTATTTTTATTATTTTATTTTATTTTATTTTATTTTATTTTATTTTATTTTATTTTATTTTAGAGAGAGAGAGTGAGTACATGAGCAGGGTGAGGAGCAAAGGCAGAGGGAGAAGCAGACTCCTTGCTGAGCAGGGAGTCCAATGCAGGGTCTCTATCCCAGGACCCTGAGATCATGACCCGAGCCAAAGGCAGACACTGAACTGATCAAGCCACCCAGGTGCCCCTGGTTTAATGTTCTTATTGATATGGTTGGATGTAGGCCTGTTATTTTTGTATCTGTTTTCTGGTCATTCTGTTTTTTTAATCTTCTACTTTCCTTTCCCTGCTTTCTTTTGGAGTATTTGAAATAGTATCCCGTTTTAGTAACACATTTAGTATCCCATTTTAGCTTGTCTCTGTTTTTTTTTTTTTTTTTTTTTTTTTTACTATATCTCTTTGTATAGGCTTTTTTGTTTGGTTGGTTTTGGTGTCTTTTTTTTTGTGTGTGTGACTGCTTTAAGAATTACAAAATATTTAAGAGTCTACCTAGAATTCACATTTTGCCACTTCCAGTGGAATGTAGCAAGCCTACCATCATGCAGGTCTCTACCTCTCTCTTTGTTGTGGTACTTCTCTTAGGTATTACATCCACTTACATTGAATGCACCATCAGAAAGTGTTACACTGTTTATAACGTTGATTTACCATCACTCATATCTTCAGGGGCACAAGGGAAGAAAAAGAAGAGTAGTCTATTCTATTGCCTAGGAATTTACTGTTCTGTTGCTCTCCTGCACTCCTGAAGTTCCGAGTTTCCCTCTGGTATCATGTGCTTTCTGTCTGAAGAGTTTCTTAAGCAATTTTCTAAGAAGGGCTGCAGGTGGGAGATTATTTTAGCATTGTTTCATCTGAGAATGTTTTAGTTTCACCTTTTTTTCCTGAGGATATTTTCAATGGCTATAGGATTCTAGATTTACAGTCCTTTTATTTTGGCAGTTCTTATTCCTTATTTATGTTCTTACTTTGTCTTGTCTCCAAGGTTTCTCATAAGAAATCCAGTCATTCAAAGTATTGTTTCTTCTAAGGCACCATTTTTTTCTGGTTCTGCTCCAGACTTTTCTTTGTCATTAGTTATCCATAATGATATGTCTGGGTGTGGATTTCTTTGGGTTTACGTTGTTTGGGGTTCAGTGAGTGTCTTCAATCTAGAGGTTTATATTTTGCCAGATTTGGGAAGCATTCAACTATTCTCTCTTTAAATACAGTTTCTGTGCTGCACTCTTTCTCTCCCCTTTCTGAGACTCTGATGCACAAATATTAGACATTTTCAGATTGTTTTGCAGGTCCCTGAGGCTTTGTTCATTTTTTCCCAATCGTTTTTCTCTCTGTTGTTAAGACTAGATAATCTCTATTGCTCTATATTCAAGTTCATTGGCTCTTTACCTGTGTCATCTCTATTTTGCTACTGAGCCCACCCAGTGAGGTTTTTTCTAAATTTCATTTATTACATTTTTTAGTTCTAAAATTTCCTTTTGGTTCTTTTCTATAGCTTCTATATATTTGCTAAGGCTTTCTATTTTTCCATTCTTTTCAAGAATACTCCCCCTTACTTCATGAAGCATTTTTACATCAGTTGTCTTAAAGTCTCTGTTAATAATTCCAACATCTGTAGCATCTCAGTGTTGGCATCTGCTGAACGTCTTTCTCAGCCAAGTTAAGATTTTCCTGCTTCTTTGTATGCTGAGCAATTTTGGATTTGTATGCTGAGCCATTTTGGATTTGTGTGCTGAGCCATTTGGATTCATATGCTGAGCAGTTTTGTATTATATCCTGAAATATTTGAAAACATGAGATTCTAAGTCTTGTTTAAGACTACTGGTTCCATGGTACTTCAAATTCTGATCTTCTTGCCCAGTCTCCCTGCTACCATTTACTTTTCTGAGTCTGCAAATAGCTACTCCATTCATTCTGTCTAGGTCTTAGAGCTACATTCAGGAGGACAAAGTGTTATGGAGTCAATATCCTCTACCTTACCTGGAATCAGAACCCGTCTTGATAGGCAAATTAACAAATTTGGCCCATAATTGGAAAAAAATTCAGCCTGTAATTTTTTATAGCTGATCTCTTTAATTTCTTTTTCTTTCTTTTTTTTTAAAGATTTTATTTTTATTTATTCATGACAGAGAGAGAGAAAGAGACAGGCAGAGGGAGAAGCAGGCTCCGTGCAGGGAGCCTGACATGGGGCTCAATCCTGGGTCTCCAGGATCACACCCTGGGCTGAAGGTGGCCCTAAACCACTGGGTCACCGAGGCTGCCCTGATCTCTTTAATTCCTGACAGCTCTATCATATTTATACTACTGAACATTGTTTTCTCTCTGACACAGACCCACTGTATACCTAGGCCTTTGGTCATGTGAAACTTTTCTTTCCTGTCCTCTCTGTCCTGTTTCATCCCACCCATTGATTTGTCACTTTACATTGTCTTCTTCTAGCTGAGACAAGGTAGGAGTTTTCCATGAGGAACTCTGTAGAGGAGGTGGGATAAGAAATGTAACTATAGGGACTCCTGGGTAGCTCAGTGGTTGAGCATCTGCCTTTGGCTCAGGTCATGATCCCAGGGTTCTGAGATCGAGTCCCACATTGGGTTCCCTGCAGGGAACCTGCCTCTCTCTGTGTGTCTCTTATGAATAAATAAATAAAATCTTAAGAGACAAACACAAGAAATGTAACTATATTGATTTGGGAGAATGATAGCAAATCTGCCCAGCACTGCCCAGTCTGGAAAGCCCATGTATGTTGTTTTCTCATGTCATCCTTGAGTCATCCCTTAGAACAACTCATTTCATAGTTGAGGCAATAGAACTTTTCAATATTTGAAGTGATCCTCTCAAGGTTCCTCAGTTGTGAAGAAGCTGAACCAGGACGACATAGATTTCTGGGTGGCAGATCAAGTGTACTTACTGCAGTTTTATGCTAAGGTTCAATAAGTAATGATTTAATTGTTTCAAAGTTTGGGTAACCCAGCTTACAAAACATTGACCCTCTGCATATTTCCATGGCATGGTGAACAAGATGGACAAGCTTACTGCAGGGTCTTAGCCAAAGTGAGGTATGGGTGGCTCCCATACTCTGGTGGGGTTCACAGTTCCTCTCAAGATACAACTTGTTTCCATTTCCACAAGCTTTTAATTAATATCTACTATGCTTCTGGCACAGCTGCAAGCCCAGGAAAGGAAGTATGAATAAGACCATCCCCAGACCCCTGGCCCCTGTGGGCCCCAGCTGATCACCCAGGTTCTCCGGCCCTCATGGCACCTCCCAGAAGGCTTTAGGGTGAAGTGCCTGGGTGTCTGAGCTCACAGAGGTCTCCTTTCCCTGCAGTCCTCCGGGCCTCACATGAGCAGGAGAAGGAAGCCCTTACCCAGTCCTTTGAGGAGGCCAAGGCGACCTTGCAGGTGAGAGGGTCAGGCCACGGCTGACTCTGTGGGGGAGGGGAGGCCCTGAGGGAAAGTAGCATGGCCTCTACTTAGATGTGAGGGGCATAGGTGAGTGTCTTCTGTGTATCCAGCCCCTTGATGTGGTGATGGGGCTATTAGCTCAGGAGGACTTGGTCTGAGATTAGGATTGGCCTATTTTCTCTGAGGACTGTTGTTGGAGGATCTTGGGGTACCACATTGTGACTGGGCTGGCAGGTGGATACAGGCAGGCATGTGGGAGCACGAAGGAAGGCCTCTGAACCAGTTTATCAGGTCAGGGACTCCCCAGAAAGATGAAATATTAGCTGGAACCTGAAGGGTGGGTTGGAATTCTTCAGATGAAGAGGGGTAAAAAGAGTGCCGTAGGCAGAAAAAAACAGTGTGCTTAAAGACATGGAGAAAAAAGGAAAATCTGGATTGCCCGTGGAACTGAAAGAAGTCTAAGATGAAGAGTATGAGTGGGAGGGAAGTAAGGTAGGGGAGGAGGTGAGGGCCAAGTGCTGGGGCCCGTTAGCCAAATGAAAGGCCTGCTCTATCCTGAAGGTCATGGGCCAGGTTTGGGTGCGAGAAAGTAGGGGGCAGGGATGTCCCTGGCAGCGGGAGGACTGGCAGGTGCCTGGCCACAGAAGCAGTGAGAGGGAAGACTGGGAAAGTGCAGAGCCCTGTTCAGGTGAGCTTTGAATGCCAAGCTGGCACCACCAGCCTTGAACACTGGGACATCATCCCTGAGGGTAGAGGGAGTCCTTGAAGGCTCTATGACGAGAGACGGGGCAGGTGTGTTTCGAGCAGTGGTCGCAGCAAATCAAACCTGCATTATTGGGGAGGGCAGAGTGAAGATAGATGGAAAAACCCAAAACTGCCCCCTCGCTGGGATATGCAGATGTCCACCACAGCCTTTATGAACCAGACTTTGACCATCTCCCTCCCACTCCCTTCTCCAGGAGACCATTGATGAACTGTCATCACAGCTGGAGGTCTTCCAGGCCAAGATGAAGAGGGTAGAAGAGTCCATTCTGAGCCGAGACTATAAGAAGCACATCCAGGTAGGTGGCAGGGAGGGATTTCCCTTCTCAGATCTCCAGGGAAGTCAGGGTCTGGGCAACAGGAAAAGCCAGGCCCTCTTCAAGGGCCCAGACTTGACACTCTTACTTTCACAAGGGCCTGGAAGAAACAGGGTCCCTGTGTCATTGAGGGGGAAAGGAAGGCTGAGAGAGAAGCATAGGGAAAATAGGAAGTGCTTGGGCTCTGGATTCGGAAGGAACTACATGCAAAGAGCTAACCTACCACTTAGCACAAGCATCATCACCTATCTGAATGGCAGTTCCTCATCTATGGTGGTAGTGGGACTTGCCTCAGAGGCTAGTGTTAGGCTAGAATGAGGTCAAGTGTATTAAGCACTTACCATGAGCCAAGGAGGGAGGTGACTGGTGAGAGGCAAACAGTGATTTGCAGGCAGAGTGGGAGAGAGACAGGTACTCCCTGCATCCCCTCTCCCTGCCTGCTGGTCTAATGAGATCACTCTGTGTCCCTGTCTAGGATTATGGGAGCCCCAGCCAGTTCTGGGAGCAGGAGCTGGAAAGCTTACACTTTGTTATCGAGATGAAGAACGAGCGTATTCACGAGCTGGACAAGCGGCTGATCCTCATGGAAACAGTGGTCTGTGCTTGGAAGCAGCTGAGGGGGGTGGGGGGAATGTGTTCTCAGGCTTCTGCTTTCTGGGCATTTCCTCTGTAAAGTGCGTGGAGGGAAGGGACTTTGAGGAGGCTCCAGCCTGGTCTGCACTGGCTTTGACCTGCCCTGGCTTTGACCCATGCTGGCCCTTGAGACAGCTGAGGCTGGCCTGTGGCTGGTCTGGGTCAAGCAGTGGCCCCTTCTCATCCAGACCCTGTGCTTTTCTTGGCTATTCCTGTTGCTATAACTTGGGTGACAGCAGGGCAGGTACCCTGGCTCATAAGGAGGGACCAGGGAAGAAAACAAGGCTGAAAAATCAGATAGAAAGACAGCCAGAGTCAGCAAGGGCAGGCCTGGAGAGTGGTGGGCATTGAGCACACACACAGCTGGCTTTGTTTCCGCGAGAAGGGAGGCCTTGGGAACCTAGGGTTGAATCCAAACAGAGATTATGTTACTCCAGAAGAAATCTCCCTGCTGTGTGTGCCACACGACCCATATTCTAGTCAGACCATCTCAGATGTTCCTGTGAATTTTGTTCAGCCGTTCTTGTGGAAGAGCATAACAGACACATGGAATTTTATTTATATAGATTATATCCTTCTGACTTTAGAGAACCAAAAATATCCTTTCTCTTATGAACTGATGGAGATGTTAGATGGGAGTGGCTGTATTCTTTTCCTATGTCTCGTGTAGCAGAATTAAAAATTGGCAGCCCCTTGTTCACTCCTTAGTTACACTTTTTTTCTTAAGTAATCTTCCTGCTTCACGAAATGTAACATCTAGTCCAGAATGAGTCAGGGTTTTCAGTGACCCTGACTCATAAGAGGTAGGTGATGGCACACATTGTGCCATGTGAGTTTGGTGGCTTCTCTGAGCTCCTTCTGATTTGTTACAGAAAGAGAAAAATCTGATGTTAGAGGAAAAAATCACCACCTTGCAGCAGGAGAACGAGGACCTCCATGTCCGGGGCCGCAACCAGATGATTATGTCAAGGTAGCTGTTGCCCTGTCTCCTTTCCTCCCATCACCACCATTTGGTCAAAATCTCCAGTTGGGAAGGTCTCAGAGAACCTAGGGAATGGATTGACATGGGGCAGGGAGAGGGCAGGGGTGAAGGGCAAGCCTTTCTGGGGAATGTGGCCCCTCTTTCCTTGGGAGTCAGGAATCCCAATGGACCAGCTCTACCCAGAAACCTAAGTCTCAGTGCCCGGATTAGTATCTGTCCCCATCCTGGCTAAGCAGGCTCCATGGCAAAGCCCAATACAGGAAGAGGACACAGGAAATTTCTAGCTGGGGTGGCCTAATGAACGAATGAATGTACATGAATGAATGAACCCATTCTGAAGGCTTAGTAAATGAGGGCCAGTATCGTGTGTCAGACATAATTCATTGAATGCTTTACCTATTATCTCACCTGATCCTCATTACTCTAAGAGCTGGTCCTCCTCCTATTGTCCCTCCCATTTTACAAAATGAGGAAACTGCAATTTGGCAAGAGTAAATAACTCGTTCCAGGTTGCATAGCTAAGTGGTGGGGTACAGCTGAACCCGGAGCTGTGGCCCCTGAGGGCCACGTTCCTCTGGCAACGGATCAAATGGCCTCCTGCAAACAGAGGGCCGGGCGCAGGGGCCCGGGAGCAGGCCGCGGCCCGTCTGAGGAAGGCCTCCTAGGGGAAGGGGCTGGTGTGTGCAGCCGCTGACAGGCTCTTGCCCGCGGCCACGCCGCCCCGTCTGCATCCACAGGCAGCTCTCCGAGGACTTGCTTCTCGCCCGCGAGGCCCTGGAGAAGGAGTCCCAGCTGCGGCGACAGCTCCAGCAAGAGAAGGAGGAGCTGCTGTACCGGGTCCTGGGGGCCGACGCCTCCGCTGCCTTCCCCTTGGCCTCCGTCACCCCCACCGAGGTCTCCTTCCTGGCCAGCTAGGGCCCCGGCCTGGGCCCGCCATGACGCCTGTGGTGGCAGCTCGCTCTTGAGGACTCACCAGAGAAGACAGCAGAGGCCTTCTCCTTTCCCCCGGAGGGGCCGAGGGCAGGAGTGAGATGGGGAGCCGGGTGTGTGCTCAGTGAGCCCTGGGGGCTCGGGCCATGCAGGATCACCCTTGGGGCTTTGGGGCCCCAGGTGTGCCTTCCCTTGAGTTGGCCCAGGGAACAAGCAAGAGGAGTCCTTCTGTCCCTCCCTGTTCTCTCTGTTCCACTCAGGGAAGTCCTGAGCTTCTCCCAGGGGCAGCCATGGCTGTTGCGGTCATCTGACAAAGACACAACCCCCTGGTCCTGACTTGTCAGCTTCCCCCAGATGTTCCTGCCTCTGCTCAGGCCCTCCCTTAGCCTCAGTTTACTTCTCTAAAACAGCCAGGGGAACTGCATGAATGACACTTGAGTCACTACGGTGTACCATTCTAGGATAGTTTGAAGGTCAGACTAGGGGCTGGGGGGCAGGGGAGGAAGTGGGCCAGACCCTGGGAATCAACAGGGAAAGGTGAGCAGCTGGAAAGGGGGTCACTGGAAGCCCTTGGGACTGGGGTGCCAGGTCCCAGCCCAGCCAAGGCATGGGCTGGGTATGACATGGGGCATGCCACTGCTCCCAGTCCCAGAGTCCAGTCAGCCCAGGAGTTGAGCCAGCGCTCCTCCCCCCTGCCCAGGCAAGCAAGGCTCACTCCTCAGCCCTCTGGATCTCTTAGTCTCCGTGTCACCTGGACGCAGGGCCACCTAGTGGGTCTGGGTACACTTAGCTGCCAGCATTGGAACCTCATCCCTGTACAGACTAGGAAACCAAGGTGGGGAGTGGGACCCACAAAGCCAGGACAGGAACTCATCTGTCATCCAGCCCTTAGCTTGTTGTGCTTGTTTTTCTCTCCAGGCTCTGGAAAGATCAGAAATGTGACTTGGTCTTTGTCCTCCTTCCTCTACCTGCCCCCACCCACTTCCGATCTCTCATACTCCTGCTCCTTACCTTTACTCATTCTACCACCCCTGATGCCAGGCGCCAGGACCCCAGAACCTGGCCCTGAGCTTCCCCATCAGTGCAGAGGGGTGGCCAGAGTAACCTCAGCAGGCCTGTCCAGCCCAGACCGCCTATGGATTTTATATTCTTCTCAGGAAGCTTCGGGTCAGCTGGACATGATAATGATAACCCCTCCCTTGCACAGAGCATTTTAATTCAATGCTCTCACATACACCTCCCTCCCCTCAGCCATCTAAGATCCTTGAAGCCCCATTCTTATCTTTCTTCAGAGCAAACTGAGATCACAGGAGCCAGTGAGATTCCCCAGCTCCAGCCCCAGGCCCCAGACCAGCAAGTAAGAAAAGTCAGTCCAGGAGAACTGAGGTTGGCTCTATCATCCCAGACTGCCTTCTTCATTCCCTTGGATCTGGTCTTCAGCCATTTCTTGTTCTAGGAGTTCAGATGCAAATATGTTTCTCCATTTCTCCCCTAGTAGGGCTAGGGGAGTGCTGAGCTGTTTCTCCGGCCACAGGCAAACAAGTTATCCATCTCGGAGCTTTGGAAACAGCTCTGGAGTCAAGTACACACGTACTTCTTCATGCAATGTTTCCCAAAGTTTGTCTGGGATTCACTAGTTCATTGCACATTAATAGGCATGACCAAGAAAAGAATTGGTAGCCAAGCAGTTTGAGAAACTCTAGGTTCAATCAAGTTAAACAGACCTGCAGGACTTCTCAGAACCTTTAATGTGCTAATGTGCACTGCAATTTCCAGCGTGTTCAGCATTTTCTAAACTCCTTTGACCAACTTTCTACCCCAACCTAAGCACTTCAGGCTGCAGTATGCACTTTAGAAAGCATCATTTTAATTGAGAGGGGCTGGTCTGCAGAAGGGGCAAGCGGAGAGTGAGGTTTCTCCCTCATACAGCATGTGGCGGGTGCCAGGAGCTAAGCTGTGGTCACGCCCTCACCCCAGCAGACAAGTTTATCTGGCCCCCGTGTTTTCCCCGGGTGAGGGAGGAGGTGGCCCCTCACTGAGGACCCCTGCTGGTGGCAGGGATCATTGAGGAAAATGTCCTGGGCCTGAGTGACTTGCCAAGAGGCTCTAGGCTCCCTCTTGGGGTATTGGTACCCCAATGGCCCTAGCTTTGCCCAGCCTTGGAATGGGGCCTGATGTTGGAGTGAAGGCTGGCCATCAGAACAGGTCAGGGCTTGGAGGGAAGCTGTGAGGTTGGTGGAAGCAGTAATGGACAGCAGGGTATAAGGGGTGATGTGAAGGTTCCTTTTGCAGTCCTTGTGCGAGTGACAACTCCTGGGCATCAAAAGCACCAAGGGTCACATAGTAACCTACCCCCATGTCTGTCCATGGCTCCACTAAGATGCCAGCAGTCAGGGAGGGCGCTAGGAAGGGGCAGGGGAGATGTGACGGCTTCCTGTGTTCACACGGACATGGGTGGTGGCAGTCCCCATGCCCTGGAGGTTGGTGGCCTGGCAGGTGTAGATGCCAGAGTCCCCAACCTGAGCCTCTTCCACGTACGGGGTGCTCCCTGCCACCTGTTGTACCTGGCCCTCTTGGTGAACAACACTGGCCCACTTGCTGACGTAGGGGGGTCGGCCCAACTGAAAGGACAAAAAAATAATTGTCCATCAGCTACCCCAGGTGTCATCTCTGACTCAGGCACCAGCAGGCGAGTAAGAGGCACTGTGTATTCCTTCAGGGAAAGGGACAGTGACTCGCCCAAGGTCGTACATGCATATCAGAGCACCTGAAAGGGCAGGTTCTTTGTGGCAAATGTGAGCTTCTCAGGTCCCTGGGGAGAAGCTGGGGTCTCCTCCCCTACCCAAGGAGATACAGGAAGTACCTTGGCTGGGAGCACCCCCCCCCCCGCCCGCCGCCAGTGTGGCACTCTGGTTTTGTGTGATTGTTAATGGGTGCTACCTCCCCAAAGCGGGGTGGGGAGGGGAGGTGGGGTTCTATTAAATTGTTTGGGAAACACTGAGTTAAGCAAAATTAAATTGAGACTCAGACCACTGTGTCTGTCGCATGTGCATGTGAGTTTTGAATCTCCAAGGCAGGTGGTTATAGGAGGCAATGTTTTCCTAAAAACACTTTTTTAGGGGTTTGGGGCTGAATTTTTTGGTGCCCTGCCATTCCAAGGAACACGCTGGGGAAAGGCCAACACAGTGAAGCCATGTCTCCCAACCATCTGTGTGGGCTTTTCCCCTTGCTGGGTCTTGGTTTTCGTTTTGGGCAAGTAGGAGAATGTTCCCCTACTCTTTCCCTCTTGTGGCCTCTGGGGAGCTCACCTTCACCATATTTTTGTTGGTCTAGCCCTCCCTCCAGGGTCATGTCAAATTCTAGCTATTTCAGGAAGCCCTGTGAAGAATTTTTGAAGTTGTCAGTGCTGGTGGATCTACCGTTTGACCCAGCTGCTCTCCAGATGTCTGAGGGCTCAGGGGGTACGTTCTTTGAGAGGAAGGAACATCGTGACCATCTGTCGAACAACACCTTAGGAACGTCTGACCCCCAGCAGGTGCCCAGGAGACAGATGCTAATGGATTTTGTCCATCTCTTACTACACACACCAGCCATGGGGCCTGAGCACTTGCCCAGCCCTGTATTCATGAGATTTGGGCCCATCCAGTCTCAACTTGAATGTCACCTCAGAGAACACTCCCTGACCACTCTATCTCAAGAAGACCCTGTCACATTGCCCTATTGTATTCTCGATGTAGCACTTCATATTCTCTCCATGATCACATTCATTTCCCACTCCTTCCTCCCTATTTAGGATTGTAAGCTTGCAGACAGCAGAAGCCATCGCTCTTTTTGCCTCATCATTGTGGTCTTTGCACTAAGTACATTGTCTGGCATGTGGTGGGTGCTCAGTAATTACTGTTGGATTAATTAGCAAAGGAGCAAATTATACATTTTATACAGTAATCTAAACAAGGAAACTGAGGCCCAGAGAAAGGGAGGTGATTTGCCCAAGGTCACTCAGAGTACTGGTCTAGCAATGGTTCTGCTCTGCCACAATCCTCATCCTAATTCCTCACTCCCATGCTCCTGCCCAACACACCATCACCACAGACACACATACACACCTCTTCTTCCCCTCTGCTTACTTTCTGCCCTGGATATTCCCAGATAAAATCCACAGCAATCTCCGGCTCACCCAAAGCCATACAGGTCACGCTGAAGTTCTCTCCAAGTTGAACTGATGTTGCTGAAGCTTGGATGGTGGATTGATAGAGGATGAGTAGTTGATGGAACAGGTGATCTGATGGAGGATGGGTGACTGGAATAGTTGATTTGAAGGAAGACAGATGAATGGAATAGTGTGACATGATGGACAATGAGTGGATGGACAGCCTGCATGGATGCAAGGTTGCTCAATAGCTGATTGGCTGGCTAGACAAGATAGTTGACTACATGGAATGTTGTTGAAAGCTGGTTGATTGTTTAGTCCCATAATCCACAGAACCCGAATCTGAGGTCACTGAAGGAGGCATCTCCCCCATATCCTCCCTTGCTCTGCCCACCCAGGCCCTAGGCCCATGCACAATTGATGTAAATCAGCATGAACTTGGTAGAGATTTGTCTCAAGCCGCCCAGGCTGGCCAAGCAGAAGAAGGAGCCAGCCAAGGAAGCTCGGGGCTGGTGGATGGTGAAGCCCTTCTTCACATCGAAGGAGATGTCTCTCCCACCCCCTGGGATTTCCTCCAGGGGGATCTCCCGATGCAGCAACACCTGGGCCAGGGGGTTGGTCACCTGACAGGGAAGCAGGACTGGTTGATGGCTGCACAACTGTACCACATCCTAATAATCCTCGGTGGGGACAAAGAGCTCCTCTGGGTCTGGGAAGGAAGGAGGGAGAGAGAAGAATGAGTTTGGCATAGATTAGTTTCCTGGTGCTTTACCACCACCCATGAGCAGGAGGTCCCCTCATGGGGATCTAAAATCGCCCTTTCCCTGCCCATCCCGGTTTTCAGTGCTTTTTCCTCTCTGGTGAGGGGTCCGAGACTGAGAGCTGAAGACCGGCCTGCGAGTTCCAGCTTCGTCATTCCGACTGGCATTTTGGAGACCCTGACTTCAGGGCGCCTGTGAAGAAGACGAAGGCCTTTCCCTGGCTGGCCTCGCCACGCCCGGTGGCCGGAGTCCCCTGTGTCCGCGCCCCCGGGCTTCACCAGCTGCAGCGGCTGTGCTGCCCGGGTGTTTGATTCTGGAAGACAGTCGGGGGCTGGACCAGGGCGAGGCGGGCAGGGGATGGGGGGCCCTGAGACAGCTCGGGAGCACCCAGGGAGAGCGTGGAGTCGAGGCCCTTGCTCCCCCCAGGCCTCAGCACCCCCCACCCACCAAGTACCCCTCGAGGACTGAGAGCAGCCCCACCTGGTTTCCACTGCTCGCCTCTCATGGGCCCCCTGCACATCTGCTGGCATCTACTCCTCACAGAGCCTGTCCTCACATGGCAGATGGCATCCCCCGAGCTCCTTTGTGCTTGCTCCTTGGCTCCTTCCCTAACAGGGGCAGGGGTCCCAGAAAAATCTCACTCTAAGAGGCTGAACTGAGAGAGGGCAGACAAATCTCCTGAACCTAGTTTTATACCCCAGCCCTTGCCCAATTTTCTTCTGGAGTGGCGTGAGCAGTGCTGGTGGGGTCAACTTTGCCTTTCTTTCTGCCTTCCCTGTGTTGGCGTCCCTGACATCAGGGTGTCTCAGCCTGACATTCAAGCACTGGTAGGTGGGACAGTCGGCCTCCTTCCCTTCCCATTGCCACCCTTCTCCCTACAGACACTACTTGCTGCCCCCAGAATTGGTTTCCAGTCTTGCGGGAAGCCGTGCCTCCCATTCTGTTAAACCACTAGGCATCTGATGGGTCTTGGGAGCTCATCTTAATTTTTTTTTAACATTTAAAAAAATTATTTATTTATTTGAGAGAGAGAGAGAGGGAGAGAGGAAGAGAGAGAGAGAGAGAAAGAGAGAGAGAGAATGAGCAGGGGGAGGGGCTGAGGGAGAGGGACAAGCAGACTTCCCGCTGAGCAGGGAGCCCAATGCAGGGTTCCATCCCAAGACCCCGGGATCATGACCTGAGCCACAGTCAGGAGCTTAACCCACTAGCCACCCAGCCACCCCCTGTTTCTTTCAGATGCTGGTAGTTGTACCTAATGGAAGCCCATTGTAGGTTCTGGACCACTTTAATCACTATCAAAATTGTCATCAGATTGTGAACTGCTGCCCCACTCCCACTGATGCATAGGAAGTTCCTCTACCTTGTACTTCAGGCATCCCTGGCCTACCTCTTCCAAGTACACAGGTACCTTCCAGCGAACCACCTCCCCCCCACAGCGCAGCTCCAGGTGATCCCCAGCCCTGCAGGCTCAGAGAGTCCCCCACCTTCTGGAAGTGGCCCCTCCCTAACACCTGGGTCAAGACGGAGGAGGAGGCGGGAGGTGGGGCACAGCCGCCTCTGTGGGAGTATTATCTGCAGGGACTTCTGGCTCAGGCCTGATTTGGGTTTCCTCCTGCCTGTGGCTCCTGAGGCCTTCACCTCTCCAGAGCTGGCTTCTGGACTTCAGCTGTAGGGAGACGGGGTGGGTGTGGGGCCCCGAGCCTTCACCATTCATCTCATTGGGTCCTCCCCTTACCCCAGCGGTTGACAGACCCCAGAGATCTGTAAGGAACCCTCACTCTTTAGAGAAAAATTATAAAATGCAGACCAACCAAGAAAAAGGATTACATTTACCCCAAAACTTACCATCCAGAGATAACCACCATGCCTATTTGAAGCATAGTTCTCCACGGCTTTTAAATGCAAATATTTTAAAGACATTTAAAAAATAAAATGGAGCAACAGAACACATATTTTTAATAATCTGCCTTTTTCACTCGGTAATATGTTATGATTGCCATTCCACATCAGTAAACACACATGTACCAAAACATCCTGAACCATTTGCATGGTATTTCGTGCTGGTGTGTATCATGATTTATTTCTTTATTGTTGGGTATTTGGGTTTTTCCACATTCTTAGCCAAAATAATCAGTTCTGCAATGCACCTTTGACAGCTTCCTTCCTTAGAATGAGTTCCTTAGAAATGGAAGTACTGGTGGGCTATGGAAGGGAACTTACACACTTTCTTCCCCAAGTGGCTACCGATATTTCAAAACCTTCTAGAATATGCTCCTAAAGAGGTCACTTAACCTGCACTTAGATATGTCTAGCGGTAGGGAGCTCAGTATTTAATGATACTAGTAGCTACAATTGATGTGCCTACGTTTCTGGAGCTGTTCTAGCCCCTTTTTATACATTTTCTTATTTCATCGTCCTAATGACTGCAAAGTAAGTATTGTTCTTGTTTTACAGATGAGGAACTTGAGGCTCACAGAGGCTCACTTTCCACAGGTACTAGGCCGAGGAACAGGAGACCTGGGACTCAGACTTAGGTTAGCCTGGCTCCAGAGCCCATGGCAGCTCCACCGTAGTGTATCTTAAGGCTGAATGGATCTGACTGCTAGAAAGACATTCAGATGCTGACCCTCAATCTTCAGCTTTTACCACTGATCCAATTTTTCTTCCCTGTGGAAGAGGACGTAGAGCCATTCCATGTGCCTGCCTGCCACCCCAGCCCCCAATTTTCTCTTCAAACAGAGAAGGTTGTGCAATCTGTACCAAGTTCTGAGTCTCTTTCTTTTCTGCCCTGGTAGTTCCCAGATACATCCTTCTCTCTTCATCCCCACTGCTACAACCCCTCAGTCGGAACCCTGGTCAGATCACACCTTGTCTACCGCTGTAACTCCCAACTGGTCTTATTTCCAATCTAACACATGTCACAAACCTCTTCTTAAACCATCCTGTTAAGGCCAGTTACAAAAATCTTGGACCATCCCCATCCATCATGGGTAACAGGTTGGGGGGTAGGGGCAAGGGGCGGGTATGGTGTTTGGGCAACAGCAACAGAAAAGATCCCAATGGAGTTTAGCAACTGTCTTTTTATGTCCCAGACCACCATCACCAACACATCCAGGTACCAATGGGCAATAAAACAATTAATTCACAACAAAGTTAAGGTCTCCGTAGTGGGAACTTCTATAATGGGGGCCTCACCTGGCCTTGGAGGGATAGGGTACTGCAATAGCTTAAGGAAGGTTTAGTAGTTTGGGGGCAGGTTTATTCTGAAGTTCTTACATGGGAAGAGCACTTAGTTCCATGGAAAGAGAATTCTTCAACCCACACTCTGGTTTAATCCTTGCCATGGCCGGGAAATGAGCACCCAGCAAGCATTATTATCCCCCTTTTACAGGTTGAGAAACTAAGCATCAGAGAGGTCAGCTGGGCTCAGCATATTAATGAGGTGACCTAGAACACTGCAGTCTAGCACCTAAAAACAACGATTCTCTGAGGAATTATCTAGGCCACTCCAGAGAAGGGGTGGGAGCCTAGATGCACTGATGGAATATGGACTTTAGAACCAGTGGTGCTAGACTTTGAATCTTTGCTCCACTAAAAGCTAGCTGTGTGACTTTGGCCAATTCATTTAATTTCTCTGAGGCCCATTTTATTCATTTAGAAAATGGAAACAAAAACACCTGCCCCGCAGGACTGTTGTTGTGTGTATTAAATGAAATAATATACGTGAAGCACTGAGTGCAGTGCCTAGCTTACAACAAAAGCTCAATAAATTTTCATCAAGAACAATGTATTCATTTCCAATTGTCACTGTAACAGGTTACCACAGACATGGTGGCTTAAAACAACATGAATTTATTATCTTATAGTTCTGAAGTCAGAAGTCTAAATTGGGTCTCATTGTGCTAAAAACCAAGGCGTCGGGGGTTGGCAGTCCTTCTGGAGGCTCTCAGAAAATCTGTTTCCTTGTCTTTTCCAGCATCTAGAGGCTGTCCAGATACCCTGGCTTATGGCCCCATTTAACCGTCTTCAAAGCCAGCACTGTTGGATGGAAGCTTCCTCATGCCACCACCTCCCTTGTTCTGCCATCCGAGTCCCTCTTCAGCTTTCAAGGTCCCTTGTGATGACATTGGGCCCAACTGAATGAATGAACAATCAAGACCACTTCCCTACATTAAGGTCAATTGACTAGCAAACTTGATTCCATCTCCAGCCTTAATGTGTCTTTGCCATGGAAGGTTCTGAGGATTAGGATATAGATATCTTTGGGAGGCTGATAGTCTATCTATCACAAATAATACATTTTTTTTCAAGTGCAAATATAAAGCTAATGATTTGACAGCCAAGCTTCCATAAATAGAGGCCTTCCATGAAGCAGAAGCAAGCCAATCACAGGGCGGGATAAGAGAGGGCTCGTGGTACTTGCTGGTTCTTTGTGTGCCTGACTGAGAAGCTGTTGTTACAGCAGCTGGCTGGAGGTATCTCTGGGTCCTGGGTCTGAAATTCTATTTGATCTGGAGTTGAAATCCAACCAAGAGCTGGGCTGGCCTGGTCCCAAGAGCTGGGGCTGCCCAATTCTGACAGGGCCCACCAGGACCTCCACTTGGGGGAGCACGCTGCAAACACATCTTCCTGAACAGACACTGGGCTGAGGAGGGGAGGAAGTGGCTCTCTGGGAGCCATCAAGATGTCCCCAGCTTTGGAACCTCTGGGTTTGCCAAGCCAACAAACCACCTGGGAAAATTTAGGGAAGCTGTCAAGTCTGACTCAAAATGTGAGGATGAGGATAAGGATCATAAATAAAAACCAGTGGGCACCCAGGCTCTGCACTAAGTGCTTTCTGTGCTTTATGTTATGTGGTGCTCTCACAAAGGGATCTGGAAAGGGTTTGGACAATCGTGCAGTCCAACCTTATCATTGTGCAGATGAGGAAGCTGAGCTCACAGAGGGGATCCTGCCAAGGCAGCACAGACAATCCATGGAAGAGCAGAGCTTAGGGGTTTGAGTGCTCACCCCTCACCATGCTGTCCACAGGGTATTGCTGGGAAAGGCAGAAAGGAGGGGTCTCCGGGCGCCCCGGGAGAATAAAAAGATTTGAGATAGATGTCCATACCTGAAATGACACAGATGAGCAGGAAACAGGACAGCCAGTACAGGGCTTGGGGGTCCATTGCGGAGGCCTTGCAGCTCACAAGATGTGGCAGCAGGGGCTCCCGGGAAGAGATTAAGGGCTGAGGAGTGTGAGCAGGGAAGTGGCAGGGACTCCTGAGAAAGGGAGAGGAGGGCCTGACTTCAAAGTCAAATCCAAGTCCTGAGTCTAGGACTCCAAACAAATTCCTTTCTCTGGGTCCCTGACGTGCCCTCACAGCACTCTCCCCACCCAGCCAAGGTGAATAGAGCTGTTCAGAGCTCTGCTGCTCAGGAAAAAACAGTCCTGCAGCCAGAAGAGGAGTGTCCCCCCAGCTGGGAATCAGCTGGAGGGGTCACTGAAGGTCACAGGACAGGACTGTTTGAGGACAGAGCAGTGAATTTGAATGTGGCCTGGGAGGGGATGGGGCTCGAACAGGACTTAAATGGGGGGGGGGCATTACCACAGGTGGGGTTGTGCAAATCTGCAGAGCCCTCAGATAAGAATGGCTAAAAAAAAAAAAAAAAAAAAAAAGAATGGCTTAACATTAAAAAAATATATATCTGGAACCTTCATAAATTTCTGTGTCATCCTTGCGCCACACTAGTGTTCTCTGTATGCTTCCAATTTTAGTGGATGTGCTGCCTAAGGGAGCACTTACCATTTTTAAATGCTTAAAAACCTATATTTGGTGACACAGGAAAATGATATAAAATTCCAATTTCAGTGTCCATAAATAAAACAGTATTGGAAAGAGGCCACACTCATGGGAGTCCATACTGTCTGGGGCTGCTCTTACACTACAACTGCCAGATGGAGCGGCTGCCACAGAGACTCATGGCCCACAGAGCCTGAAATATTTACCGGCCGGTCCTCAGCAGAAAATGTTTGTCAACTCTTGCCGTAAAGGTTGGTGTTTCTAAAAAATAATTTTATTGAAGCACAAAGAATATGTAAATAAAATTCATTTTCAAAAAAAATTACAGATGAAGCTTAAGTTCCCTTTGACACCCTGACCGCAACCCCCACCCCCACCCCCCACCCCCGTTTCCTCAGAGGTCACTACCTGGGTATGTGTTCTTCTAGATCTCTGCCTGCATTTACAGAAGTCTAGGTGTGTATCCATAGAGAAATAAATGATTGTTTTGTGAATTTTTTTTTCTGTAGATAATTTCAGACTGTGCAGTTTTTCTTTCTTTTTTTTTTTTTTAAGATGTTATTTATTCATTCATGAAAGACACAGAGAGAGAGGCAGAGACACAGGCAGAGGGAGAAGCAGGCTCCATGCAGGGAGCCCGATGGGGGACTCAATCCCAGGACTCTGGGATCATGACCTGAGCCAAAGGCAGATGCTCAACCACTGAGCCACCCACGGGGCCTATAGTTTCCTTAAACTTGCTTTAAAAACAAAAACAACAACAACAAAAAACCTCAACAATGTTCCCTGGCTCCCTGTAGAGACCTACCTTTATACTTTTTAAAGTGCTACATAATATTCTGTGGCTTTATTATTCCCCTACCAAAGGACACAGAGTGTGTTTCCTTTTTGCTGTTGGAAACAATGCTGCAAAGAGCAAGAAGGAGTGTTTCAATGCTCAACTAGCTGTATGTCCTTGAAGATTTAACACTTGTTAAATGAAAGAATGGGACTCCACACAGCCACCCACGGGAGCGGATGCGTGTTTGTGACTCAGGAAACACCAGCAGGCAAGTCCCTCCCACGTAGCCGGTAGCCGTAAGCCTCCTGCTCTTCTGCAGAGTTTGGTGTACCTTCCAGCTATTGGTTGTAAGCAGGTAGGAAGCCTCCTGGCTTCTGGTTGAAACAGGATTCCCTCGGTACAAACTCCATGGTCATTCTTGGAAGGTAGTGTGGGAGGGTGGGAACTAGCAGAGAATGGAGAGCCTGGGAGCTTGGGCCCCGTTCTCACCTTGCCACTTGCTGTGTGACCTTGAGCAGCCTCTTCTCTTTGGGCTTCAGATTCCCCAGCTATTTAAGGAGGATATGGGACACTGAGAGGAGCCAGAGGGATCTGAGAGGTGATGGTGTAGTGCTCTTAAGGCAGATGCTGGGAGCTAAGGAGGGCACCTTGTTGAATCCATGTTCTCTCTGATTGTTCCCCAGTGGAGAGATTGCACAGAGAGTATCCGTGCAGCCCAGCCCAGCCCATGGCCCTGGAGAATGTCCACGGACCCCAAGGTCCTGGGTCTGGACTGTGAGCTATTACATGCTCCTGGAGCACCCTGTTCCCCTCCGACCCACAACACTTATCACAGTTTATTTTTCACAGGAATTTGTGTGATTGAGTCATGAATGTCTGTCTCCCACCCTCTAGAGGGGGTGAACTCTGTGGAAGCTGGGGCCAGGCCTATATTGCTCACCCTTTATCCCAGTCCCCTAGCACAGTGCCTAATACTTTGTGGGCATTAGACAAACATCTGCTGAATGAATAAATGAGCTGCTCCAGCCTGGTTTCAACAACACAGACATAGCCTTCTCTTTAACCCATAGGCTCCCAAAGAGACAAATAAAGAGGAGTGGGGAGCAGAGGGGCTGGGGTACAGACAGTCCAGACAACATCTTGGATTTAGAAAGGTCACTCTCTTCTTGGGTGTCAGCCTTCAGGTGGGCTGGGGGTGGGAGGTGGGCTGTGTCTGGAATAGTAGACCTTGGGAATAAATACTCAGGGAAGCTTTGTATTCATTCATTCATTTATTTCATTTATCAAATATTTACTGAGAATCTACTTTACCAAGCAATAGAGACACGAAGAAGACAGATATTAGCCAAAATCACAAAAATAAATATCTAATCACCAACGAGGACACTGTTATGATAGGGAAGAACAGGATCCTAGGAGAGCCTATGGGGAGGGGTGTGTAAAGAGCACTGGAGAAAGGATCAGGAAGGAATTTCTGAAGAAGTGCTATTTAAGGAGAAACCCACAAGAATAGTAAGTTTCTCCCAGGCTTACAAGAAGAGCTTTCATTCCACGGAAATGGGATGTTTCAATAGAGTTTTGAGTGAGTCATGGGATCTTGGAATCCTAGACAGAGAATCTCAGAGTTATAAAATCCTAATCTCACAGAATCCCGAAACAAGCACTTAGAGATTTTCAACAGTAAATGGAACCTTAGACTTGAATGTTAGAGACTAGAGTCTTCAACATATAAGAACAAAGGGAATCTTAGGAGGTAGTTTATTCCCATCCCCTTCTCTCTACTATTTGTACAGATAGTAACAGAACAAAACAAAAGTGCATGATCGTAGAACCCAACCAGAACTCTCACCTCTTATTATTAATAAATTAGGACCCTATCCATTTAATAAATAATAAAAATAATAGCAACAATGCTTATATTTATTGTCTCAATGCTAGATGCTAATTGCTAAGTGATTTATATCATTACCTCAGTGAATTGTGACATCAAACTCGTGTGGTAAGTATTCTATAAAACTCGTGTATTATAACTAAGAAAACAGAACCTCAGGGGGAATAAAAATGGTTAATGACCCAGCTAGGTGGGTGGTGGATCCGGAACCCTGGTTCTTTGCTAGGGCTTTCTTTGCTCATTTGCTTTTTAATTTAAAGACTGTGCTCTAAAGCATAGTGCTATGCAGCTTTTTCTAATTACAGCTGCTTTCAGGCCCTTTTCACAGTGACCCAAGACTTCCTGCAACTTCTCCCTTAGGGGTCGAGGTAATCCCTTGGCCCGACTTTGCTGTGGGGTGATGAGCTGCCGGGAAGGTCTGTAGTACACTCTCACGTCAAATGAGCCTTCTGAAGACCTAAAAGTATTGTTAAACCTAAAAGAAGTGAGTCTGTTAATGGGATCCAAGAAACAGCATGGCATCAGGAAACAGTTCCCATCTTAGGGTAGGCACTAAATAGCTATGTTATGCCGGCTTTAGCAGTGGAGCTTCCCTGGCTTCCAGGTCAGGTCTTTTGGGTGCGATTATAGTGCCTGCTCTGTCCACCTCAGTTGTGGAGACATAATGTGTGCAAACATGCTTTATGATTTATGAAATCTATGTAAGCATTCTAAGGTTCAGTGGTTTCTACCTTGTGCATGAGAGTGTGGATTGCTCTCTCAATGGAGGGGAGGGGGAGCAATTTGGGAATATTAGGAACCTCTAAAAATATTCATTACTCTTTCATCTGGAATTCAAATTTTAGGAAACAATCTTAAAGCCATGCTGAAAAATTCAGAATCAACTTAAAAGTCCAAGGTGATTAGATAAATAAATTATATTACCATATAATAGAATTTGGCACAGTTATTCTCAGTGTTTCAGAGTATTTAATCACATAAAATAGTGTTCACAACAAATTAAGGTGTATCAAGGATAGAATAATATTTACAGTAAGGTCCAGGTTTTTGCAAATAAAAGTATACGTGTGTGGCACATAAGTGCTCTCCATCAGTGTTGCTGTTATAATCATTGCTGTTGTTATATAATTTTAAAAATGATGTTAATCATAGTGTTGATGTAGGCTACCTTTAGATTGTAGGATTATGGCTTTAAATTATTTTTATCTTTTGATTATATATATGTATATATATATATATATATATATATTTAAATTGTTTATTTGAGAGAGACATAGAGAGAGAGCATGAATGAAGAGAGGGAGCCCGATGCGGGGCTTGATCCCAGGACCCTGAAATCATGACCTGAACCAAAGGCAGATACTTAACCGACTGAGCCACCCAGGTGCCCTCATCTTTTGATTATCTATAATGAACACCCAATATTTTTACAACAAGAGAAACAACAAAAGTCATTAGAAAAGCGGTTCTGTGATTTTTTAAGCCAATTTTTGTTTGCATGCTATTTCTCCATTTCTCCACCTTCCAAGTGACCTGCCTGCCCCAAAAGGAAGCATCCTCACATCACTGAGACTCTATGGCTGAAAATAATCCGCTTCATGTCAAGTGGTTAGAAACTCTCCCACAGAGAGGAGCAACCCCCAAGTCTTTCAAAGGAATACCAGGCACTGAGACAGGCCTTCCTTGTGGAGGAAGAGGGTCTTTCTGGAGGTCCTATGAACATTACCCCAGGGCTCCTTCCTTTAGTCAACTTAAAGTGAGACCCCCCTCTGGGACAGCACACAGGGAGCACCTGTCCTGATGGAGGCCGGCAGAACTGGCATCGGCCAGCAGGTGGCAGTATCTGACCACTCCCAGCTTCTCCAGAGCCCAGCCCCCAGATCTTGAACCTTTCTCCTCTAAAATTAGAGAGACAAGGAGGGAGAGAGTCTGGAATCCCAGTCCATTGTTCTGCCCACATCTCCACATCACATTGTCTCTCTTACATACACTTTGGAAGGGCCACTCTATGTAGGAAGGGGCTTGGAACAGCACCAAAAAGATGAAGTCATCTTAGTAGGTTTCCGTCCCATATTTGCCTCCTTCCAGGCTTTGTGTCCACCAGCCAGTGAGGTTGTGTGACATATGCTTACTTGCTACTCCACAGCCCCTGGATGTTTATGTTGTTTCCTTTCTGTGGCTAAAAGTAAGGTGTGGGACCTCAAAAGCTCTGTCTGTATTTCAGATTATTTTCTTAGGACTGATTCTCAGAAATGAGATGTTCAGTCAAAGAAAATGAACAATCTATTAGCCTTTTTTCTGCAGCTCAGAGAATAAGGCCCCAGGCC